TTGGTTCGAATTACGGAAAGCCGAAGTCAGAGGCGAGAAGACTGTTCGTCAAGTTTGAGAATGTAGCAAAAAAACCTGAAGTTTTCAGAAGTGCTACCAAATTTAGCATTTCGTTTTTCTTTATTTATCATACTCGTTAGTCAAATCCAAAACCTTTATTAGTGCGTCGGGAACCTGAATTAGCATGTAACAGATTATCTTGATTGCAAATATGTACATTTGTAAAGTCACACCACACACTTTAATAAGAGTTTAGTCGACAACAATCAGAAAAAATGAAACGAAAGTCTTAATTAAGGGCAAAATAGAGGTAATAGACAGGAGTTTGTAGGGATGATCCCGTTAACACAAAGGAGATCGAAAAAATCCAAAAGTTAGTTTATTTGAGAAGGTGCAATACAGGACTACTTCCTTCTTAGCTGGCAATTTTGAGAGATTAATAATGGTGACTGTAGGTGATTTTAGAAGTATCAAAGGGCAAATCGCAAAATTAATAAATACAAACATTGACTAATTTCGCGTTTTGGCATACAAAACGGCACACTTATAATTCCCTTTTCTTCACTGAGAACATTTCAAAGGAAATTAATTTTTAAGCGTCCAAGATCATTCTCAGGGGTCAAGTTAGCCAGTGTCGTAGATAGCTTATAGCTGTTCTTTGCAAACTATACAACTTCTAGTGGGTCATTAAATACTTATCTATCCCTGGATGTAAATCCAAAACATAACTGGTTGGTTGGATGCTGTTTTAATAACAAGAGTTACGAATGGAAATTGCACATAATTCTCTCAACGAATTACTCCACTAGGCTATACAGACCTCAGAGTTTTTCAACAGTAATGAACAATCTAGCCTACAATAGATTTTTCGAACAGATTGACGGAGGACACAATATTACTCTTAGTCCAATGCAAAGCAAGATGTGCGTATTTGTCAGGAAATGTTTTATCACCAATATTTAGAACAAAGAGCCAAAACCAAACCAGAAAAAATCAAGATTCGAGGACAGTTAGAAACAAAAGTAATCTAATCTGCATAAACCGCACAACTTAGGTGAAATGTTATCAAGACCCACCTAGTCAATATAACGATTTTGCACCTATGAGTAGGACAAGGAGTTATTGTCACAAAAATGCATGCAGGAAGAAATCTGGAAAAGAAGCACACAGACACGCATGAAAAATAAAGAGTCATATGCGGAAAAATCGCTTAAAGCGCCCTGTAAATAGTCAAGGCTTTCCCAGTAAAGCTATGTTATTTATTCTCAATCTTCTGAAGTTCAGAAAGATTGAAAAGCAAACACAGCTGTTACCTCTGTGTTACTTAACTAACTGCGTGTACTGGGTTTGGGATGCTTTTGTTTTAACCAGGCTTCGGACTGGCTTTATTAATGATTTCGACCCTATACTTTCGATTTCCATTTTGCTCTGGTTTGGCATTTCACAAGTTCAACAAGTGTCGCGCATGGAATAATAACCTTGATATTTCTGAGTAGTTCCCCTGCCACCAATCACAAAACTCTGTCAAATTAAACTTTCCGTCTACAAGCATGAGAGAACTCTAGTCACTCTCTTCCCCACCAGTGTTTATTTATCAGCAGCTTCACACTCCTTTTTTACTATGTTGGATTACCTAAAGTAGATTGTTAGAATGGACGCTTCTTCACAGTCGATGTTTTGTGTTTCATATTCTGTCAGAAAATGCTATTTATGCAAACACCATGTCGGAATCATATCTGACAGTTACAACTTGTGCACTGAGTTAGACGTCGATGCAGTACACATATCGCAGCCTCGCAAAGTATTAGCTAACAAACGAAGAACAATTAATTAGGAGGGAGAGCCTATGACGTATGAGTGGAACGCAGATGTGTTCGTTCGTGCTAGATCAGCGCAAGTGAATACTTGATCAAGAAGTCTTACAAACGTATGTGGTCCATCTGCCATGCGTATTTCAGAGAGAAGACTCTTCCATATTAATGCGTACTTGATGAGGAAGAAGTTTTCTCGGGTTATGATTGCTATTTCTCAACTTTGACCGTTGGTACTTTATCTCGAAGGTCATATTCATGTGAGTCTTGGGCAAGAACTATATTACATGTGGAATAAGTACTGTCTTTGAGAAGTTTGAAGTAGAGAATCAAATTTAACCTAAACCTTCCTTTCCAAAGGATTCTAGTCCTAAGATATGGCATCGAGAACTGTACTCAACGAGTGAGTCGGTCTTAAGTATTTCATAGGTGAAATCCTTAAGTATGTAGGATAGGCGTGGGTTACAAAATATGACCAGCAGGAGAGTTGATGGTGGCTGAATTGGTAACATGAGTACTGACGATGATTGCGCCAGTGTAGTAAGTACCGTTATCGGACTAGCCAGACACACAACTGCGAAACATGCGAAAGGAAAATCTCTCTCGAAATAAAAAATGAATGAAATGACACCGGATATTGGTGGCTATGATTCTGAAGTAGTAGTACCTGAAAACTCGGATAAAACCGTCCGAATGTGACTGTTCTGACCTGCTAAAATGGAGGATAGTGCGGAAACAACGAAGAGAAAAAATAGCGACTAATAGCGCCCGTCTGTTTGGTACGTTTCCGGTAGACTTCTATTCCGCGTAATAGAACATATCACCGAATTTCTGATGTAAGACTGGACTTAACCGCGGTGTGGCTGCATAAAGCTTGAACTCAACAAACGTCATTATAAGTAGTTCGAACCTCAAAAATTAGACACGCGCATGACTTAGAAAATTTGAAGCACTCGATCGAACTATCTTGTCAGACACCCCTAGAGGAGTTCAGCTCAAAAATTGATCAAATAGGTAAAAGAATCGAGGAGAATGTTGAACTTCGACTATACAGAATTATTAAATTAATCCTCGGGTCGAATTCTTTTGTTAACCAGTACTGAAAGTTACGATAACACCGAAGTTCGGTTAAGACCTGAAATATTTCTAGAAGATAGAGTAAGAAGAGAGATAACGTTAGCTAGACTAGAAACGCGTAGATGAAATGGTGAAGTAAATATTCGCTTAGTGGGTTTTGAGTGGAAGAAAATGCTACCAAGGTCCGTATGGATATTTTGTTCCCTTCAAGAGTTTTAAATGGAAATGCTCGTAGTTTAGGACCGTTAAACTTATAGACTTGTTAGTCCATGACTTTGACGTTAATCCAAAATTATCCAAATACAACTACATGAGAAGTGACATGAATAGATGCAGGAATAGGTTTTGTGTCCTTATATACATTTTTAGTAATATAAACATCCGTTCCTTTGTTTGTAAATATCATGGAACTTATAGACACTTTTTTAAATATTGTGCATCTGTACTCAACGTCGTCTACATTAGTTCACTCTCCTTAGCTGACGACTTTAATCTAAACGAAATTCGGTTGTGAAACAAAAATAAAAGATACATTATATTAGATTTCGATGCACATGATATTATTTGGACAGAGATGGCCACAGCAGAATCTGAAAACTCCTCTGATAGTAGGCTCCTGATGCCGGTAATGAAGTGTGCCTTAGTACAGCATGTATCCGAACTCACACTTTTTGGTTCGGACCAATGATGTTCTTTGTTAGACGTAGTAATCACTTGTGTAGCCGAGGATATTTCCAATCTAAATATTTTTCTACTGTTGGCAGATCGCGGTCACGTATTGTTGTGATTCATGTTTAGACCATATTAAGTTGTATACGATCAGACTGAACCAAGCCCAAACGTGTAAAGGGAAAGTAAACCAGCCACTCGGGAGTGCGCTGCAACAACGAGTTGCTCACTGAATACTAGTGTATCAATAAAAAAGGAATGGTCTGTATATAAAAGTGCATTAGTTTAGTTAAGTCCCCGTTCATACTATGTTCAGTGCTACGTAGACCAAATAACTGTCCACCATAGATGACCAAGTATGTTGAGAAACTTCTTAAGCGTAGAAAAAAGTATCAGAGTATATTTATCTAAACGGGTTCTGAACAGCACAGATCGATTTATCATAAGAGTAGAGACGCTTACAAAGCGTTTGTAAGGCCAGACGAAAAACAGTTGATGAGGGATTGTAAAGGTTGTCCGTAAAGATTGTTCCAGTATATAAGGAGTCGAAATCAGAAAATTGATAAGATCTTATCGCCAATGCCAAGAAGTGGTTTTGCAAAAGCGGAAGTTCTATCAGAGTATTTTAGCATTTTGTTTCCTACCGACAACAGTGTGAGACAAACAGTTTATTCTAACGATACCGACTTGTTGATGGATTCTGAGGTTATTGAGAAAGAAGCTATATATATATATATATATATATATATATATATATATATATAATTGAAACGATTCACATCATGTTGCCTGAAGTGATACGCTATGAAGATCCAGGAGTCATAATAAGTAACGATCTCAAAACCACGAGTAACTGCAGGGCTGCTGTTGCCAAAAGCTTTAGGGTCTTATTGTCTATTCGCAAATCATTTAATCACCTGAACGAAGAAATATTTATGATGTTAAGCCCGACTTGCTTTAGGCCTCATTTGAAATATGATACAAGCAAAGTTCTTGTTTCAAGCATGAGACGGATGTGCTATAACGAGTTCTATAACCAAGTACTAAAATGCTAAAAGGTCTCTCTGGCCTATCTTATGACAGACTAAGACGCCTCAAACTATTTCTGTTATCTTAACGCACGTTACGGGTTGATCTAATACTAGTGTACCGTATACTGAACGATGATCTTAGTATTAGTATGTAATGTCCTTTATTTCCACTTAGGACTGAATATTCAAGAGGATGTTTTAGGAAAGTTCGAAAACCTGGATCAAATCGTTTACGTCTGGAAACACGTTTCTCGCAGCAACTAATGAACCACTAAAATTCTCCACCAGAACAGGTAATATGAGCATCTTCTGTTGATACATACAAAGCGAGATCAGACCTTTACAGTGTTACAAACTGCAAAGATTAATATAGGTCGATAGACCTATCTTCACTACTGAAGATCAATGTGACGTTGCACTACCTTGAAGTTCGCGGAAATGTTAATCCTCTAGGCCTATTGATTTTGGACGGTATATAAACACTTGTGTTGCATTTCTATGTGGTAATTGGTGTTGTTAACCTTCCGAATTACTTCTTTTTTCTTGGTAATTCGAAAAATAAGTTCACACATCACCGGGCTACTAAACAGGGTAGTGATTTTGAAATTTGTTATAAATCGAATTTACTTTTGTTCGACCATAGCATCACCAGCGTATCAAGTCAACTTTAACTTGAATTAGTCCGGTTAAGTTCCAGGTCTTTTTATTCGCCTTTCGGTTATACCTTTATTGTTTCTGAGAGCTAGTACTTTGCGTGCATCTTAGTCGTTTCTGTCAGTATTCTAGATTTCGTACTAGTTTTTACAGTCCATGTGTAAATGTTTTGTGTGGACTTGTTTAGTGCTTGGTTTTAGTTGTTGGTATGGGAAGGTAGATCGTCTTCTCGTTAAGCATGGAGTAGAGTGTTGGTTTTGTGTTTGTTGACTGGAGACGATATCGATAAAGAATGTTGAATAATAGTTCCTTGATCGGTTTCGTGTATATTCATAGACTTAGTCTCATTAGTCAATAACAGATTAAAATAAACAAAAGATGAGTGTGTGAGAGACATCATACATCTGTTAACACAAACAAGAAATGCAATACGATGAAGGCATAATATGCCTACTTAGTAAATAATGGGTGACTTCGTCCCTTTTATATGTAAATTCCATTTAAGAAATTGGAGCATAAGTGACACACACTTGAGGCAACCACATATAAAAGCGCACATGAATAATATTAACAAGGTTATAAATAACAGGCACATGGAAGCTCATAGGGCATATAATGGACAGATTTCAGTCAGTCAGTAACAACGTGGAACTTCGTACGTACGTACATCAGTTCGAGTTGCCATACCATATTAACACAGAGACTCAGTTATCGATCCAAATTCCACAGTGGTAGAGGTACTGAAAGTATAAGTAGAGATAGGCGACATTAAGGTTTGATGTTATTAAAGGAGTATAGTCCAGTGGAATAAATTGGGAAAGAAAATAAAGAACATGGAGAATTCAGAAGATTAGAGTTTGAGAGAACACAAAGAGTGGACGCACCTGCGCCATTGCAAACGGTTTTGAGCCATGTCATTCAAGGTCTCTAACCATCGGTCGCTATCGTCTCGCGGTCCCCAACCAGGTAGTCTACACCTACCAACATGACTCAGTCCACTTGTCAGTGACTTCATGGATTTGTGCCATGTTTTGGTCTGGCCGCCCCTAGCTTTCTTCCAACCTACTCCTACACCATAAAACCTCGCACGTCGGGGCAGTCGGTGGTCAGGCATGCGCAACACATGTCCCAGCCATCTCAACTGATTAAGTTTCACTACTTCATCAATTGATTTGCCATCCTTACCTAGTACCCGTTTCATAACAACTGCTTAACAATTGCTTAAACAGAAGTATGGGGTGACTGCTACAATGGGTTTAGCAAGTGGTATCATAAGACGCGTACCTGTTTTAAACCTATTGCATTATAAACTATGTTCGAAGTTTAAATCGTTGGTTCAGTGTATTTTCCCATTCCGGTACGAAATTGATTACCCATGAGACTTTGGGGCATTTGGTAACGAAAAGAAATGTTAGCGGTATTACTACTGGAGATTCTGGTACAGAGCTAAAATTGCACTAGTATCATAACTATACCTAAAGGAAGTAAAATAAAAAATCAGACTCCTAAACATGAAAATTCTTTGGTAAAGCACATAAAGGACGAAACGTCACAAGGTGGCTGACTAATTGTAGGTGAAGCTGACTCCCAAATCATTTTATGTAAAATCCCTAACATAACCGTCAATGACTTAAAGATTTATACCATACGGAACGGGATAACAGCAATAACTCTAACAACTATGTCGATACCGTATAAAATAACCGTATTCTCGTCTAACCCCAACTTCTCAAAAAAAATCTTGTAAGAAAGATTTATTGGGAGCGACCAAAGGTTGATTTAAATCCACGTCAATTCTGCTGTATATAGACTCACTGGGAATCAACGAACAGAATTTAATTTAAATCAAATAGATTTCAATTGACTATCTTAAATGTTATGTTTGGTTGTTTGACATCCCTAGCACCATGATACGGAGGTTCCAAGTAAAAAAAAGATGAAAATCAGAATGGTGGCAACTAAATAGAGGGATAAATTCTACGAATGCTTCACCTTTGGTTGGTAGGTGTTTGGGAGGTTCCAATTGCGAAACACGGAGTGCCTTTACGAAACCCTATAGTATGACTATAACCAAACTTAGTGCAAGGGAATGATTAAACTGGTTCCAATATTGTGAGAAATTTCTATCAATTGAATATTCCTACTCTAAAGTCAGGCATGGGGATGATTACGACGAGGTCTGGGTATTTGCCCGTAACAAACTGTTGAATATTTCAACGACAATTCATGTTGACAAATCTGTAAAAGTAGGCGAGATAATTAGTATAAATACCATGTAGACTCTTTAAAGTAATCATAGTTGGAAACAAAGAAATTTTGTTAACTGGTGCTCTAAAGCAAGGTAATACTGGCATTCACACAACACCTGAATTATCGTATGAAAGTGACATCAAGAGAAAGACTTGTAGCTGAACTAAAAGCAGAATGGTGAGGAAAACCTTTGGCCAGGGTTTTCAAGTAGTCAGGTATTGTCATCGAATACTACCAAGATCTCTCATGATAGGTCGCCCCCTTTGGGACTTTTACACACCAATGTTAATGGTTTCGAAAACAAATCCCAGGAGTTGTGGGTGTCATAACAGTTTATGACTCTGACATCACTCCAGAGCTATCGGGTACACTGAAAAGAGGATAGTCTTTATATACATTTGGAACAACATGCGTACACCGTTTGTTTGTGAGTCTCATGAAAGCAGGACATGAAAAGTTTTTAGGTGTGAACTTACTTTCAAATGTTGTATATTTATACGTGGTGCTATCTATATTAGTCCAATCTGCTCAGTCGATGATTTCATTTTAGAACACATGAATTTGTACAGTAAAAATAACCGGCGCCTGATATTAGACTTCAATGTACTTGATATAAATTGAAAGAAGCATCCGCTTTAAAATCCGATAACATATTTGATGACAGGCTCCATATGACTGTCATAGAGTATGCTGTAGTGCAGCATGTATCCAAACGCACACATTTTTGTCCAAACCAAGGATTTTCTTTGTTGGATCTAGTAATCACTCAGAAACGGAGGATATTACATGTCTAGATACTTTCCCACAGTTGGTTAATTAAGGTCATAATGTTTAATCATTCGAGTTCATAACTTATGACAGTCTATAACCAGGTTTGCCCTCTCTCAGATCTGTAGAGAGCAAACATTTCGGCCATCAAGGAGTGTGTTGTGGCGGAATAGTCGGTTATCACTAGCTCATCAATTTGAGTCATGGTTTATGCTTACAGGTACACTTAGTTCGATTACATCTCCATTTATACCATGCCTAAAACTACATAGATCTAACACTTATCCACTATGAATAACTAAGGGGGTCAATAAACCCAGACGTAGGAAGGGACATCGGGATATGCCCACAAATACCCTGGTACGGCCGAGAGTGTCTCGAGCCAGCTGTCCCTCTCGGAATGCTATCTTATGGCCGTGCGTATACAACCATTGCCTTCTCGCGGCAGGGTTGTTGTTTACGAAATTGAGAGGACGTGAAGCTAATGTCTGGTATTTTAACCGGGTTGGTGGACACGAATGATTCATTTATGGAGTTGAAAAACCCTGATTTCAAACAAGTGGCGCACATGGGCCCCAGGATTCTGAAGGGACAAGTGGTGTATGAACCTATTGTTGGTCATCGGCTGCATCTTCTAACGTTGCTTCACTGTCTTGTGGACTAGACCTCTAGGTCAAAGGCTCGGGGAGTGGCTCCCAAAGAAAACCACTTGTTTTGTTGCGGACGCCCGGACAATATTCCAGCCCTCACACAAGTCGAATGACGAAGTGTGTCGCATATATATTCAATGCCTACTTGTACCAGTGTTTGTGTACTTAAATAAATGAAATCAGGATCTGCAAAACTAGAAACGTATTCAAAGCGTTAATGAGTAAAGCTAGATTATCGTTCAAGAAACAACTGATTTGAGGTTCTAAAATTAGTCCCAAAAGTTGTGCTCGTACAGAGACAAACTCGGAGAAGTGATGGAGTTTCGCCACTTCTGTTATAGGAAGATCCACTGACATAGTCAAGCAATGGTGTTGACAAAGGTGTAGCCTCGTCAAATTTTTTAAGTAAAGTATTTTTCACCAATGACAGCAAGAGATCAATCACTAACCTGAACAATTGCGTTTTGTCTATGGGAAAGAGAGTTATCCTTCGACAACTCTATCTCATAAACAGATAAGTCCTGTGGTCCCGATAATATCCATCTTTAAGTCATGGGAGCTCTGCAGTAATATGGTTTCCGAATCATTAAAGCAATTACAATTTTGAGTTTATTTATGACACCATTTTTAAAGTGAAACTAAACAACTCCTTTGTATGCCCCCAAATGCCCTGGTATGGCCGAGAGTCCGCTCTCCCTCTCGAAATGCTCTCACATGGCCATGCGTATACAGCCTCTGCCAGGGAAGTCCTACTCACTGCATTCTCGTGGCGGGGGTGTTGTTTACTAAAATGAGAGGACGAAAAGCGAATGTCTGGCGCTTTAACCGGATCCCAAACCATTGGTGCACATGTGCTCCAGTATCCTGAAGGAACAAATGGCGTATGAACCAATCGTTGGTCACCGGCTTCCATGGGACTGCATCTCCTCACGATGCTCCACTGCCTTGTGGATCAGATCTTCAGGTCAAAGTCTCGGGGTGTGGCCCCCCAAGAAAACCACCTGCTTCGGTTTAGGCACCCGAGCAGTATCACAGCCCTCACACATATTAAATGAGATATGTGTGGCGTATATATATTTGGTGCCTCCTTATACCGATATCTATGTGTTAAAATAAGTAAATGAATATGAAGTTAGAGATTGGATAATTGACTTCCTCAGTAATAAGAAACAACAAGTAAAAGTAAAGTCTTTTGTCGCCATGTAAATCTATGGATGGTGGGTTTTGGAGTAAGTTTTAGCGAGTGTAATAATACAAGTCAGTCCGCGAGGATTTATATGACTTCACAGTAAATTAGATTGCTTTATTTAAAGTTATCGGTTATAATGATCTAAGAGTCATAGTAATGATCGTAGATTGCTTGATAATTATGGGGTGGCTTCCTTCAAAGGCTTGCCAGTCTTGAGTCATTTTGCAATTCGGATGAAGTGTTCAGAATATTATATTCGGCGTATATGAGACTGCATTTAGAACATGTAATTCGCGAAACAAAATCTTGTTTCATATACGAACTAGATATAATTGAAGGGGTTCAACAACTTGGAACCAAATCCCGAAAGTTTATTCTAGCCTGCCTTATAAAGGTAAACTGAAATGCTCTATCTTAGTTCCGTTTCTCATGCACTGAATGATGATCTTGTTATCAATGCTTTATCTTTTTATCCAACATAGAACTGATCATCTGAGAGGACATTTTCAGAAGGCTTGAAAAGCGAGACCAAACCGCTTACATCTGGAATTCCGTTTCATTCACTGAGTTGTAAATTACTGTAGTTGTCTACCCGAATACGTAGTATCAGCATCTGTTCATACATCTAAAGACAGGTTGGGTCTTCACAGTACTAAAAGTCGCGAGGATTAACCTTCTGTCCTTAACTTTGAAGACATTGCTTTATATTTTGGAACAGTTTTGAAGCACCGGTGGTTTAACTTATGGTGTAAATCAACGGCTTTTTGTACAGGTAATATTTAACTAGAGGTCTTGCAATTTATTGATACATACAATAGTTATTCTTTTTTTATGACTTGGTAATTTTCCCTGGGGAGCCTATCAGTCTTCAGAATGTTTAAACAACTTGTGACAAAACAATTTTTCCTGTTATTCAAGTGTTTATTATTGTTTTATTGCCCATCGGCTGATGGATTGGCGGCTAGGCTCACCAAGGAACAGATATTTTTTTTACTTAAATCCTTTCATTCCCTACATCGTTTTAATTTTACCCACCTACGTTAGGTTGGTTAATTAATTCCCCTCAAAATAATAAAAAGCTACTCGACCCCCGATTTTCTCGTGCGGAGTCTGTAGTTCAATTGTCACTGCCCTGAAAGGTTGACACTAAGTTCTGTCTGTTTTGCTTACTTTCTCACAAAATTATCTTTGTACGTTCTCCACTGCCTTTTAGATGATTTCACCGTATCTTGCTTAACTTCGTTATAATCTCAAATCAACCTTAATAGCGTTAATATTACAGCTTTATACAAAAAATATTATCAAAATATCATCAATGTTTGTGAACATTATTGTATTAAAATTGGTTGTTATTGCTTGTTGTAGGTCTTTAGGGACTAGAGACTATCAACCAAAGATTTTTTATTCTATTTGTGTTATGAGTTTTTTGACTATTGTGTTTTCCAAATGCTCATTACAGTGCTTATTGCTAACACAGTCGTTATATTTCACTGCGAGTGTTGTTTGGTATTTGTGGTCCTTCAATTTTGTAAATTGTACTTATGATGTATTACTTGGTTTTCAATAGGGGTTATTTATACTCTAGTCTGTTTTTATAGTTATGAAACCAACGTGAGGCCCGACTTGCTGATGTTGCTGGTCTCAAGCCTGAGTAAAGATGATAGGTTGGGGTATTAAGGCTTGCAACTCGACCTCTTACGAAAGAACTTTGCTGCAAAGTCGCTATGTAGAATAAATATCAAGACCGGACTTCGGATACCCTATATGTTGCCAAATTAGCCATTGGACTGAAATTGGGATTCATTTGAACCGGAATTCGGACGCTCAATTTAATACAGCTGTTATGGAGAAGGATTTTACTGGTTTGATAGACGATCTTTTATTTATCAAAGTCACTGATCAGAATCCTGATCAATAAATCAAATGCAGTGATACAAAGTATGGTTGATTGACGGTTATTCACGGGACCATATTATTGGCTTAAGCTTTTGTTATAATTTGAAATAAAAAGCATGACCATTAGCCAGAAGAAGAATATAATAAAATGACATGCCTATATACAACATAATCACACAAACAAAAGTATTATCATAGGTGACTGGAGAAAATCAGTTTGTAAATCACTAATTGTGCGACCAATTAAGACCTGATTGTTAGGCTTAATTCTTGTCCGGCACGTCAACAGTTGACTAGTTTAATAAACTGTAGTTTAACCCATTATATGTAGTACGTCATGATGTAGTGTTTTCCATTTTTAAATGTCACCGTTTTTTTTGTTGATTAAAAAGTGTTTTCCGGCTTTTAGGATGAAAATCTACTTGGCTTTCTTACTCATTGTATTTGGGGCGTTACTCTGTCACAGTGAAGCAATAACTAAACAACATTTACCAGCTGAACTTCTGTGCTCAGACATGAATTGTTTGAAAACCATAACTACTGGAAGTCTTATTAAAGATGTTAATGTACCGAATAAGAAAACATTAAAGGTGAATACCTTAGTGGATATAATAGGATTAAGCGCTGATGCTACTAATTCTATGATGAAAATAAAATTCGGCGAAGAACTCTTATACATCGACCCAAGTTTTGTACAAATTAAGGATTCTGTTAGTTCACGCGAATTTTTAAAGGTGAAAAACGTCGATATAAATTTAAATCCTTCGACTCTATTAAATGAAAGAACACTTAATCTAATGTCACCTTACCAAATACCATCGGATGAAGATTTGAGCTACAAATCTACAGAGAAAATATCTGAGAAAGATCATCGAGATAACAAGCAAACATTTTTCGGCAATCAAAGACAGAGTAATGCTTACGATACCAGAGAAAGGATGAATAAAATTGATGCTGATAAAATGGACGTGGTTAGTCGCAGACGTCATGATCAAGTGAGCAAACAAGAAACTACATATAAGATAGATTCTGAAGTGGAACAAGATGAAAAAATTGAGGAAGATAATGAAGAAAATGAGTTTGAATATAACAATTCATCTGAAATAAAACTTGGTGACATGGATACAACTGACTATCCATTCGAGCAAAGTGAACCTGTTTCTGTGAATCGAGAACCTTCATCGGTTTCGTCACATCACGTTGAAATGAAGGTGTCTGGAACCGAACATGTGGAACCCCATGTACCGATACGATCACCGACTGTCTCCTCCGATGTTGATAATAAGTCGAAGGAGGATGTTTCGAGTAGACCTGAACAAAGTGAACCTGTTTCTGTGAATCGAGAACCTTCATCGGTTTCGTCACATCACGTTGAAATGAAGGTGTCTGGAACCGAACATGTGGAACCCCATGTACCGATACGATCACCGACTGTCTCCTCCGATGTTGATAATAAGTCGAAGGAGGATGTTTCGAGTAGACCTGAACAAAGTGAACCTGTTTCTGTGAATCGAGAACCTTCATCGGTTTCGTCACATCACGTTGAAATGAAGGTGTCTGGAACCGAACATGTGGAACCCCATGTACCGATACGATCACCGACTGTCTCCTCCGATGTTGATAATAAGTCGAAGGAGGATGTTTCCGAGTAGACCTGAACAAAGTGAACCTGTTTCTGTGAATCGAGAACCTTCATCGGTTTCGTCACATCACGTTGAAATGAAGGTGTCTGGAACCGAACATGTGGAACCCCATGTACCGATACGATCACCGACTGTCTCCTCCGATGTTGATAATAAGTCGAAGGAGGATGTTCCGAGTAGACCTGAACAAAGTGAACCTGTTTCTGTGAATCGAGAACCTTCATCGGTTTCGTCACATCACGTTGAAATGAAGGTGTCTGGAACCGAACATGTGGAACCCCATGTACCGATACGATCACCGACTGTCTCCTCCGATGTTGATAATGAGTCGAAGGAGGATGTTCCGAGTAGACCTGAACAAAGTGAACCTGTTTCTGTGAATCGAGAACCTTCATCGGTTTCGTCACATCACGTTGAAATGAAGGTGTCTGGAACCGAACATGTGGAACCCCATGTACCGATACGATCACCGACTGTCTCCTCCGATGTTGATAATGAGTCGAAGGAGGATGTTCCGAGTAGACCTGAACAAAGTGAACCTGTTTCTGTGAATCGAGAACCTTCATCGGTTTCGTCACATCACGTTGAAATGAAGGTGTCTGGAACCGAACATGTGGAACCCCATGTACCGATACGATCACCGACTGTCTCCTCCGATGTTGATAATAAGTCGAAGGAGGATGTTCCGAGTAGACCTGAACAAAGTGAACCTGTTTCTGTGAATCGAGAACCTTCATCGGTTTCGTCACATCACGTTGAAATGAAGGTGTCTGGAACCGAACATGTGGAACCCCATGTACCGATACGATCACCGACTGTCTCCTCCGATGTTGATAATAAGTCGAAGGAGGATGTTCCGAGTAGACCTGAACAAAGTGAACCTGTTTCTGTGAATCGAGAACCTTCATCGGTTTCGTCACATCACGTTGAAATGAAGGTGTCTGGAACCGAACATGTGGAACCCCATGTACCGATACGATCACCGACTGTCTCCTCCGATGTTGATAATGAGTCGAAGGAGGATGTTCCGAGTAGACCTGAACAAAGTGAACCTGTTTCTGTGAATCGAGAACCTTCATCGGTTTCGTCACATCACGTTGAAATGAAGGTGTCTGGAACCGAACATGTGGAACCCCATGTACCGATACGATCACCGACTGTCTCCTCCGATGTTGATAATGAGTCGAAGGAGGATGTTTCACAAGTTTCATATTCCACCTCAGGCGACCTTTTGAACAATGATAGTCATACAGAATCTAATATATCAAATTCACCTTTTTCAGTGCATGATCTTAAACAAGGAGTCATCACCACCAATCTCATCGATGTTCAAGATATTGGAATAATTTATTCTTCAGATGTAAATAGCTCTACTCCTTCATCTGTTCCACAAAAAATGTCCGAGAATCAGATTATTTTCGATCCTCACACTGTTCCCGTTCACTTAGGTTTGATACAATGTATATACTGGGCAGCAAACGCTAGTTTTGATAAAACGTATTCTAAAACTGTTAGATCACCTTTATCGAGTTTCTTAGTCAATGGATTTATGTACTTCTTTGCAGCTGCTAACTTTTCTCTGCAGTATTTACCAGAAAACATTATTTCCAATTTAGATAATTTTTTGCTTGAAACATTTTCTTTATCAATAAATTTCATTATTGCTTGGATGATTTTTATATTTCACTTAATTTTTATGTGGAATCTAAGTAAGGGCGTACATTTCCTTTTATCTAAATATATTTTTTCTGAAAAATACACATCTCCATCTCTCGTAGAATATCTAAAACTTGAAGAGTATAGCATTCAACTAGCTAGTCAACTTTCAGATACGGAAGAATCGAATTCTCATTTATCTAAATGGGCTAATTCACTTTCATGCAGTCTTCAAAACCTACAGGAAGAATATGCTTCCAAATTATCTGAAATGACATTATCTATGGATGATTCACGAGAATCTTTCATACGTGCTCAATCGGAGTTGAATCATCTAAAAAATACTCATAATTCACTAGAACAAAACTTACGTTTGAAGTTAACTGATAAAGAAGAAGTCATTCATGAATTAAACTCAGAAATTAATCGTCTGAAACAATTACACTCTGAAAATGATGATAAATGGAAGAAAAGTCTTTTAGATCTAGAAGAAAGTAACCGTAAGTCAATAGAAGAATTGAAAGAGGAACAAGAACAGTTATATTCTCAAGCTAATTTATATTATAATCGCATGAAAACGATGCAATCAGAGGTCGACAAAATTTTGGAATCTAGAAAAGCATCTGAAGAAAAGTTACTGATTAAAGAAGCAGAATTTCAAAGTTTGCTTGCTACTTTTAATACGCTTAAAGGTCTTGAGGTGATTTTTGAACAGGAATCTTCCTCAAAACAGAAAACAAATGATATGGAAGAACGTGAAGTAACCACCACTGACAATCTATCTAATGTTAGTCGCACGTTAGAGGATGACGTGGAGATTAGCGAAAAGTCAAGTATTGTTTCCGAAAGTGATTTATGTGATTTAAATGAAGTCGATGAAAAGACTACAGAAAAATCTAGATTACAGAAGAATTTATCATTGCTCTTAGATGTTGGTCGTTTACATGCTCAAATCAGACTTAAAGATGAACAAATTAAAGCTGAAGAGTCTAAAGCAAAAAATGAACATGATCTTCGAGTTCAAGTTGAATCCAAAATGGAAGAGATAGAAAAAGAAAATTCAACTCTTAAAGCTAATTTAATTCATATTGAACAAGAAAGAAATGCTTATCAAACAAAGCTTGATATTTTATCCTGTTACTTTAAAGAACGCGAACTTGAACTGCAAAGGGATTTAGGTAAGCATGTCGTAGTTGGTTCTGAATCTTCTGAAGCCCTTCTGCACAGTCGAAAGCGCAATCAAGAGCTTGAGGGGGAAGTGAAGGTATTACGAGATCAAATGGCAGCTTTACGTCGAGAGCTAGTGGAAACTGAAAGAACTAGTAGGCGTCAAATATCGGAGTTAGATAAGCGTTCTCATGAAAATTGGTTAGCAGCTCGTGCGTCTGACCACCAAATTCAAGATCTACGTGAAGAAAACTCCAGTTTGCGACAAAAGCTCATTGAATCAGAGAACAATGCATTACGATCGTCAATGCGCACCATCCCGGAAAAAATAAATAGTTCATCTCGTGAGAAAATTATGAACATTTTCACAAGACCTATTTTACCACTAGACTTTATGAAAAATCCAAGCTTAAGAGATGTACGCTCTCAATCAAGAAATTCTCTAACAAATTTAACATCGCAACGGCCAGTAGCAGAAGCTAATCCATTCCCATTTATTCCAACACCACCCCGAGGAACAATGCCTTTTTCAGGTGGACTTCAAAGAGATGTCATACCAACACCACCAAGGCCTCTTTTGCCAGGATTTCCTCCAGTGCAAATGAGTTTCCCGTCAGCATTTTTAGCTCCCCCATTCGCGCCCGTCATTAAAGCGATGACTGACCAAAATAATAAACAAAATAGTTCCCCTTCTTCTGTAAGCGGTTCACTAAAGTGATTTTAGATCTATAACGCTTTGTTTAGTATGCGGTTTTTCTTGCATTTTAATCTTTCATTCTCTACGTTCCGATTGTTTCATTGTGGTATCATTATTTAGGTTATTTTGAAGCAGGCTGTAAAGTGATACTATTTTTACATTTATTCTTTTGATAATAAGTATGTCCAGATATTATATTTCAGATTACATATATCAAGAATAATATTTCAAACATTAGTTGGTTATTGCACAATAAAAAATCTTTTTTTCGGTCTTCGTACTTACTAAATTGTTTCTGTTTGTTATTTATTGCTCCGACATTACTTTATGTGTTTTAATGAAGCATTTTTGTTTTTGGTGAATAATGGTTCTTGAGTCATTCGCTTTATTAAAGAAAATGTTCTAAATTAGTGAAAAGTATGTGTTTTTGTCATTTCATTATCTATTGTATACCAACTGTCCTCAAGTAATATTACTGAATTGTTTGAGTTCATTGAAGATACAATCAAATGAGAGATAATTATTTAGGTTATATCTCAGTGATTAGTTGTCAGTGTAATCGGGCATTTCCAAAGAAGATTGCTAATTACAGCGCTTAGCGATGGTAGTTCACAATCTGGAAATAATATCATCCTTTTTTTAAAATTTGATATTCTTGTCAAATACCAGGGAAATGAAAACTTTAATTATAATGCTCATGGAAAGTTGTCTAATACTCTGATGTGATACTTATTTAAGCAATTAGTCCTGATATCATGAACATGGCATTGACTCTATCTCTAATGCAGGAATTAAGCTAGTAAGTTTTCAAACCTTTCGTCTTACAACTCCCGTCAATCTTATCAAATTCTTAAAATGGTAAGCAGGTGTATCATTGTATTTATAGTTATTTCGACTAGCAATGAGGAATTTTACTGTCAGTTTCATTTTATTTTAGCTGGCTTAACTTGTATATTTTAGCTCATAAAAATTTAACTCGATGCTTAGTGTACGAAACTGAACGCTTGATTGCTAAGTCACATAGAAGTTTACTCGTTCCTTGAATAACTTTGTTTTCGTTTCATCTTATCCCTTTCTAATATGTACAAGTTGTGGACAATAGTCATCTCTTATGTTTGCGAAAATCTGTAATCTAATGTTTTTGGATGGAATCTAATCTTTGATTTAAAGTCCTTGCCATAAAGTCTGATTGTGCTACAATTTAACAAATATTTTGATATATTTCAGACGGTGTAAGGTTAACGTCATTATTTTGTTTTTTTTTAGTTTTTCAATTTATTCAACATCAGGTTGCACCTTTTACTTTGTCCTGAAACTAGATGATGAGAACAAATAAATATACTCTGCTTTCTTTAGATTGCCTGATGCGATTCACTATGGAAGCTGAATTTAAATTCTGCAAATAAAGCATTAACCTGATTAACTGTGGTTTACACTAGTTTTTTAGTGATAATTTTTGCAAAGCATCGAGAGAAAGGCAAACATTATTAAGGGGGGATCATATAAATACAGAACAAACTGATGAATCCGTTCTTAAGTACGTTTGTGATTGTGCGGCGATACTGATTAGTAGTAGGACAGTGGTGGTTGGTAACTTTTACTTAGCTATATAGCCTCATTGCTTGTTCCAAAACATCTTTTCATTTCTATCTATCGTCTATGTACTTTGTCAAACAAAGTTATGTCAGAAATCCCTAAGGGAACTGAACTTAAAGTCAGACGATAATTTATACCTCCTTGTAGTGCTCATTCATATATATATATATATATATATATATATATATATATATATATATATATATATATATATATATATATATATATATATATATTCATAGGTTAACTAGCACTCAACCACAGGTATCTTTTAACTGTTGCTCCTGTATTTTGGGGCCATCAAGTGAGCCATGCCTAATTCAAGCATAGGGTACAAGGTAAAGATATCAAATAGGTTGACGAAGTAGTGGTACGTACCTCCAATCACCACCTACCTCAGTTCACGATGTCTGATGAGAGATTAGTTTGGGAGAAATCTGCGGACAGCCAAACCAGGAAGTGGCATCAGTCTATGAAGTTACTGTCAGTCGAACTGAGCTATTATGGTATTCATTACAGTCGTGTTGAATTTGCGTAACTAGATACGCATTTCAGAATACAGGACCTGATAACATGTAACTCAAATGCACTAATTCTATTTCATTGGTTAATTTGTGCTATTGTATACTTTGGTTGTTCGTCTATCTAACTATCTGTTAATCATATTCCACGATAATGCTGATCTTGTAAATATTTGACTGGACGTTTTGAACTCATTTTAGTACTATACAGATTAGACTTGTCTAATCCAATCCCCGATATATTTCCTCATGATACAATTAATACCGATTCTACTTTCACTGTTGTTATAAATTCAATTACGTTACAAGGATGTCTAATACTGGTGTTAATCCAGTACTACCATTATTTCAGCCTAGTCGTTTCCATTCAGTCCTATTACACTTCATTGTTATTACTGTGCATGTTAATTAATTCAGTAACTTGCTGAATTTATTCGACTTTGACCATCGAGTTAAATATAAAAACCATAAGAGACATGTGGTTAGGTGTAGATTATTTATTGTTTGTCTGCGTGACTATAATAATCAGTGATTGAAGACGGCTGATATGGCTCAAAATCATATTGTATTGTATTGACTATATAAAGCTTGCGTAAATGTATCCGAATTTTTGGGGTAGATGTTAAAAATTCAGACACCAAGCATTTACTACTTTATCTCTTGTTTGTGACCTTGTGAAATTTATTTATGTACACTTGACTTGAGCATATGTCTGTACAGTTATCAGTAATTCATCGCTTTACTGATTCATAGTCTTTTTAGGTTTATATAAACGCTTATAAAAAGTAATATTTTTGGTAGAGAGGTAGCGTTTCTCCGCTTCGCATCTGTTCACTTTACACTAATAGTTTGTTTGCTCAAATATAAATAATTTATATATATTCTTCCTAAATACATGTTTTATTTCGTTAACAATTGTGTTAGGTTGTATGACGGAAGTTAATGAATTATATTTCATCATCGTCATCAACTATGTAGCGAATTCAATCAACCAAACTAAACATTATTGTATTTATTACCGGGATTTAATTATGTAATTCTTTATTAATACGTCCCATTCGCTAGTGTGTCACGAGAGGTTAAGGTGAATAATAGACGATTCAAGAATTTGGATAAGATATTGAGAGAGCATGTATTTGAAGTCATTTTAGTTTGCTTACATCAGACGAGTTTTAAGTAGGCTCCAAAGAATCCTTCAATAATTATACTGTTCTGTGAGGCACTTACGACGTACAGTTGTTATACGAGCCATTTCTAATTTAGTATTTAATTTGAAGTTAACCAAATGACAGTTTATCTAAAAACTTCGATTTCTGAATCCTTGAAGCTACTCATTGTTGTGTAATACTACCGTAAGAGTATTTAAAAAGCAACATTCTAGTTGTTCTTAAGCTGTCATAAATCTTATCTCAGGAATTAATTGCATATGTTTATGGTGTTCTCGTGTGTTACGCTAGATCTGTTAGTGACTGATATCAGTAAATTTTTTTTATTCAGTGGTATTGAGTAGGAGCTATTTCTCCAAGGAGAGAAAGCACTAGTTATTCATTATTCCAAAATTAAATTTCTTTAGTTTACTTATTGTCAGTCTTGTAACTGACTTGTTAACATGAGAAATTATAACGAATTTTCTATTGTTTTTTTTTGAAAGTAATTTGATATTAGGTCTATCGTAATTTATGTTAATTAGTTTTTGATGTGATATTTAACTTGAATGTCATAGTCTATTTGATTAACCTCATAAAAGATCTAATTCTATTCTACAATGTCAAATAGAAATGAACAAAGATGAATCTTATTCTATCGTATATCAGTTCTAGCTTTTACACTTCTAAACACGTCACAAAAGCAAGGAAATCAATAAAAAGTAAATATTTTATGAGCAAATAATTAGGTTGGGAAAGAAAAAAAAACAAAGTAGTGTTGGAAACAGTTCTTAAATTAAATAGTGCTAACAATACAAAATAATTACTTGGTTAGCTATTATACACAACATGATAAATTCTATCGAAAGTTGAAGCTATGATATTCTTAAGTGCAAAATAACATTGTTTATTGGGTAGACTAAAAAAAAAATCAATATATCTAGTAGAACTAACTAATAACAGATATGTATTAAAAGGAGTATTATGAACTTAGATATTAATTGATCAATATGGCGGACCTATCCACGCAAGAATATTATAACAGAATCGAAATCTCATGCTAGCACTTCTAGTTATGATTGTCGAATGATCTTCATCTCAAGCCTATGGTACTCCTGACTGTTGCCCTTGCTTTAGATGTCAATTAGACCGGGGACCTCTCGATGTTTATTGATGGGCTCTCTAATTTGATCGTATGAATGATTGTTATTGAAATATATATGTCGCCTATCCTCGTATATAATCATCGACTTAAATCGCGTTAGTCAATAACGGAATTAAATATGTCAAATAACGAGAATGGACTTTTGAATACATATATTCTGTATATGAAGTGAATGAAATAGAGAAGCAAAACGACGCGCAGTAGAGATAGCTGGTAAGCCAACTCCCATTTAACCAAGCATTAATCAATATTTATAGTCACACAAAAATAGGTTACAGACATGTGGTGAGTAATGGAATAAGAAGTGTACACACGCATATGCGCTCATATAAAAACAGTGAAGATTGATAAGCGAATAATTAACAAGGTCAAAATGTGACTCAAGTAGAATGAATAGATCGGCCTGTCCGAAAGCTAGAATAAGTTATTTGAGCTTAACATAATAGCCAACAGTACACTAGTTACTTTAATTATCAAATGTTATAGAGTCTAGGGTTATATCAAGCCCATATGGGTTGTTCTAGCTTCCAAACAGACCAGTTTATTTCATTCTGCTTGAATCACATTTTGACCTTACAATTATTTGCTTATTAACGTTGACTATTTTCATATGAGTCTATTTGTGTGCATTGCTTACCCTATTCATCACATATCTATAGCTTATTTTTATCTGGCTTTAAATAATGAGTCACACTTGATCAGAACGAGTTAGTTCATTTGCCTTCTCGGCTTCGCTTTCCTGTTTTTCATTCTGAATATCTGTTTGAATAAACGAGTGCTTTGAAACATGTTCAGGTTGACATTAATTGCATGGACGTTGGTGATTCTCTACCACCCATTTATTAGAAATTTTAGGGTGTGATTAAAAAAAATTTTACGAATTGTTGATTGGTGAACTTGGTTTTTAAAAGTGTGTATTCAATTGATAATGAACAAATATTTTTTCAACTGTTATCATTTTTTGAATTGACTGTAAATTGTGCATGTTTGAGATGTAATGGGATTAGTTCAAATCGAAATAGCATCAAGCACTCGGATTGA